TTTTTTTAACACCATATATGATATTTTCTCACACATATCTGCTTATCTCTCAGCATGAGAAAACGTCTGTTTTCCGTCTATTAGTTTTAAAACAGACCGATGCACAGCACAGCGCGAGTTTGCAAGCGTCATTACAGTGTAAACTGATGGACATACAGAATCATACCTGAAACAGAATGCTAATAAATACAGTAATATTCCCTCCTCAATTCGGAAACTGTAGGTTTCCACACAGACGTGCACACACATCAACACATCTCCGTATGAGAAGCGTTTATTAGAAGCGGGGAAGTGCGGGGTCTCAAAATTAAAGATGAAAGATGCAACATAACGCCAGCAGGGGTCACTCATACTTCATTAAATAAATAACAAACAGTTAATTCTGCTGAAATACATAATGCATGGAACAGTTTTGATGCTATATTATTGATTGTTTATGTTGCTAAGGGTGTTGCTCAGTGATACACAGAACCATTGGGTGAAGCGGTCAAAGCCGTGCTGTATCGTGAATAAAACAGCTGATGACCAATCAGAATCGAGGAATGGAACTAACCGTTTTATAATAAGGAATAGAAAACTTTTTAAGGATCTGCAGGCACCCTGTTAACTCTTTATACCAGACAAAACAACAGAGAGCGAGGTGAAACTAATCTTCTTCCTCTGAGATTTAATGGTGTTTGGCAAACAAACGAATGTGTTTTAGCGCCACCCGCTGGACAGGAGTGAGATTAGGCGCCGAGCAGGTGCTGTCATCAAGCGTTTATTTGTGTCGCCCCGTCCCATTCAAGAGGTCCTCGCAGCCTGTAGTTCGATGACGTACTGGATCAGATCCAATACATATATGATGTTTGACGAGCATGCGCAGTATTGGATTTTAATGCGCATGCGCAATCTCTCTCTCTCTCTCTCTCTGTGTGTGCGCATGTGCGTGCGCATGTGCGGAGTGTTCGGGAGGATTGTGTGAGTGACTGAGCAGCGTGTTTGAGTGAGTTTCAAACGCTTTATTTTTTCTCTTTTTAGATTAAGGTACATATTGGTTGAGTTTATCGAAACTACGGCAGTTTTGTAATATTTATTTGCTGACTTTGTCGGCAAAAGAGAGCAGCAATGGGATCGAATTCTGATGGCTTTGCGTCCTTGACTGAACGCCATGGGTGCAAATGTTTATCAGATGAGACCGTGTCAGTGGAAGATTGTTTAATCTCTCACACACATACATTCTCCTTTCACATACATATATATATATATATAGAATGTATGTATGTCTGAAGAGAATATGTGTATGTAAGAGAAGAATGTATGTATGTGTGAGAGAGAGTATAGTGGAAACGGAAGGAGTATAGTTGTACACATGTGATCAATGCAGTAAAACGCTTTTGAGTGCTTCAGACCTGAAGGAACACCTGAGAGTTCATACAATGGAGAAGCCACATTCATGTCATTTGTATGGAAAGAGTTTTTTATGTTTACAAAGTTTGAAAGAACACCAGACAATGCATACTGTTATGAGAGAGTACATGTGCTTTGAGTGTGAAAAGACTTTTACTACAGCAAAATGTTTAAAACGGCACCAGAGGATTCACACTGGAGAAAAACCTTACAAGTGTTCACACTGTGACAAGAGATTCAGTGGGTCAGAATATCTGAAAATACATGAGAGGATCCACACTGGAGAGAAGCCACATGCATGTGATCATTGTGGGAAGAGCTTCAGACTAAAAGGGACCCTTAACGATCACGTGAAAATCCACACCGGAGAGAAGCCGCACACATGTGCTCAGTGTGGGAAGAGTTTTACACAAAAAGGAAACCTTAACAAACACGTGAAAATCCACACTGGAGAAAAGCCGTACTCATGTGATCAGTGCGGAAAGAGTTTCAGAATATCAAGTGTTTTTAAAGTTCATCTGCGTACTCATTCTAGAAAAAGACAATATAACTGTGACCATTGTGGTAAACGTTTTTTTACGGCAAGTGCCCTGAAGAAGCACCTGAAAATTCATACAAAGGAAAAGCCTCATGCGTGTTCTTTGTGTGGAAAGTGTTTTAGCCAATTTGCTGCTTTAAAATATCACCAGAAAAGACACAGCGGTGTGAAGGATCATGCTTGCTCTGAGTGTGGGAAGACTTTTTTTACATATGGTGCACTGAAAGTGCACAAGACCGTTCACACTACAGAAACACCTTACAAGTGTTCACACTGTGACAAGAGATTCAAACGGTCAGAATATCTGAAAATACATGAGAGGATCCACACTGGAGAGAAGCCACATGCATGTGATCATTGTGGGAAGAGCTTCAGACTAAAAGGGACCCTTAACGATCACGTGAAAATCCACACCGGAGAGAAGCCGCACACATGTGCTCAGTGTGGGAAGAGTTTTACACAAAAAGGAAACCTTAACAAACACGTGAAAATCCACACTGGAGAAAAGCCGTACTCATGTGATCAGTGCGGAAAGAGTTTCAGAATATCAAGTGTTTTTAAAGTTCATCTGCGTACTCATTCTAGAAAAAGACAATATAACTGTGACCATTGTGGTAAACGTTTTTTTACGGCAAGTGCCCTGAAGAAGCACCTGAAAATTCATACAAAGGAAAAGGATTCACACTGGAGAGAAACCGTATCACTGCACTGCATGTGGGAAGTGTTTCAATAATTCATCTGCTTTACACAGACATACAAAAAGCATTCACAGTAATGGCGCTTTTCCACTGCATGGTACGACTCGGCTCGGCACGGCTCAGTACGGTACGGCAAGGCTCGGCTTGGCACGGTTTGTGTTTCCACTGCAGTTTAGTACCGCTTTAGAGTGGGCGTGATTATTCACATGTCGTCATA